AATATAAACACCAAATTTATTAAAATATACAACAAATTTAAAAATAATTCTTACAATGATTTTCATATTTTTGTTTATATTTACAATTACTAATACCAGCAGTTTATAATAACAAATAATCTAAATATTGAAAATAATTAAGATATTTTAGTTACAGGTTTGAAAAAAAATTATTAACACAATGTATAATAAAATAAATTTATAACTAGATATAATTTTAATAACATTATTAATAATTAATTAATTATTATCTACAGTGTATATAAAATTAACTTTAATCCAATAATATAATAATTAATGAAATATGTCTCTAAATTAATTAAATTAATTCAAAAATTTTTAGCAATACATTATTTTCAAACTAATAAATTTACAAATAAATATTTTTGTATAATAATACATTAATTATTAGATACTTTATTTTTATAATGGCCAAAACTGTAATACCAATATTATGGTAGAATTAAATTTTGGGATTTTAATATAGCACGCTCAATTGTTTTTAAGGTAACAAAATAAAATCTTATCAAAATTTTACCATAAGTAGTTTATTTAACCTATACTTGAAACATGCAAGGGCATTTCAGACTTTTGCATTATAGGTCTATTAATTGCAGTTACAAACAAATTCTGATTATTCTCAACATTGACAACTATATTATTAGTTACTTTAGGACGTTTAAAGTAGTTGACTACCATGCTACAAAATATTGTTGGCTTATATTTAATGTAGATAGCTCGCACGAAGTCGGTAAATGCTAATATACAAAATCCGAACCATAGGCTCACGATACTAGCCGTTAGGCTAATGTACTCTTCGACAGACATTTTCAACGATATCTCGTATATCGTAGTCGGCTCCGAGTGAAAGTCAATAATGATTTTGAGAAATTGATTTTGTGTGGACGTACTAGTTATTTGGGGCACGTAATAGTGCTGGATACAATCGTGCCTATCCCCGCATTCACGGTCACACTTAGTGAATAATTCGTAATACATATCTGAGCTATAATTAGTTCCCAAATGTTCAGGGTATATTGATTCGTCGTTGTACGTTAAGAATAGGTCAAAAATTTTTACCAACTTTTAAATGCACCTAACGTTACATTCCTCGTCATTCATTCCGTTAAAGCAATTACTCAAGTGGCGGCTGTTGACAATTGTTTCCCGGTACTTTATGATACTATATACGAAACGGTTTATTTTAATATCCTTTACGATTTGTTTTTTGTAGGGTATTAAAGCAAGCTCATAACTTGAATGCACATCCAACGATATAGCCAGCGTACTCAATAACGGACTTTTATGCATTTTAAACGTTATGCTCATTGTTTGAATCTTATTTGTGCCAAGCTTGTTATCATCCGGAACATTACGCTGCCGATTTGATAATATTGTAATGCAATATCGACTTTTATCGATCGAGGTTAAATATCCATGGTACTTACTGCAGTTAAATACAGAGAATGGAATTTGAGCGTAACAATAAATTAAATCATCGGGCGATTTAAATGAGTTAAATTGCTGACCAATTGATAATTGATTAAATTTATTCAAAGAAAATGCTCCATTTACAGTATAAAACTTAATTAAATTAGATTGTATCGAATCTTTTTTGTCCATACAAATTGTGATTGCCGGGTGAGTTGTTTTTTCATTGTCTATTATGTAGCGGACATTAGTAGTGGTTTGGTATCCAAAGTATAGTTCACTTATTTTATACGTTTGATACATACATCCCATCAAACATAACACGTACGACACAATGTTGTAATATAACATTTTAGATACTGGTCATTTTTATGATTATGATACTTTAATAGTAAATCATAAACATATAAGTGTATTATGTTGTTTGTAAGGTATAACTATAGTATTCAAAGTTCGTTTTAATATTATACTGGGTGTAACTTATTTTTTATTTTGCATTTGTATGATAAGTTTCAATGATAAATAAAATATTAATATCAAAATGTTACACCATAAGTATGTATATTAATGTAAATATATTAGTTATATTCTATAACTAACAACACCTAGCAACATTGTTTTTCTGATTGGTATTAAAAATATTAGAAAATTAAATTGTAGTGTATGTATATAAATAAAATCGATGGAACATGATTAAATTTATAAACATTATTAATTTATTCTAAAAATATATTAAAATGAAATGTGTAAAACTTCTAGTATGCCTAGAATAAATAGTCTGCTTTAATAAAATAATCATGCAAATTAATTAGTTAATTATAGTTACAAGTTAGTTATATTATTTGTTTTAATATGTTGCAATTTATAGAATTTATCATGAACAATTTATTCGGACATTGTATCATAGTACCATAATATAAACACTAAATTTATTAGAAATAATTCTAAAAATAAACTTGTATTAATCTCAGCCAGTTTATAATGATCACATATAATTTTAATAATGAAAATATTTTACAAATTTTTGTTACAGTTTGAAACGAAAATTATTCACACAATGTATAAGTTATTTAAATTATTTATTTAATTAATATTATAAATATTTTAATGAAAATTAAATTGCTTAAATTACATTCAAAATAAAGCTTTTTTAAATATAACTTTCTCATATTTTTTTTATCACCTTAGCTATGTTATATGGCTTAGCTAACTTTTAAAATGGTTTATTACGTAAAACTTTGTTTTTGCAACCGTTTACTTTCTTATTGAACTTATGAGTGTATTTACTGTAAATATATAGTAGTTTAATCAATGCAAACAAAATGTCCCATTATTTTTAGGTAATTGGGTGTTCAACTATAAAAAATAATATCTTATGTATTATGATTCATATGCAGCATGTTAATTTATTTTAATATTAATTTAAATTGGTTTAGCAAATATAATATTTAAGGTTTTTATTTTATTATTTTAATTTAAGTTTACACCCTTGGTCTTGATAATTTGAGTTTAATATACAAACTTATCACAATTCTGTGTAATCAATATAACTATGAAATACTGTATGTTTATAAAGTTTGTGTCAGACATGATAAAAGTTTGAGAATATTATTTATATAATAAATTTTAACTTTTATTTTTGTGTTTATTTTGCAATCTCAAAGTAAATTGAATTTGAAAATGTAATTGCCTATGAAGCTAAGTGTTTTAATTTTAAAATAATAAAATTACTATTTAAATAATAGTTTTATACTAGTAGAATTATAATTTTGAATATAGGTTTAAATATAAATAACCTGGTAGGTTATGTCAAAGGATAATAGGCAATAAGGTAATAATATAATAATCATGTGTTTAAATTTATATCCTAATACAAATTTGAGTTTAATCAGTTGGTGAGTGTGATAGGTAATATAATATATTATATCAGTAATTCAATTATAAATTACAGTTTTAGTTATTGTGAATTAAAAATTAGATATTTATATTTTAATAATTAATTTTAGTAATTAAAAATAGTTACTTTACTATATTTTTCTAATATCTATTTACATAGATAATAATACTGTATGTCTAAAATGTTTTACATTCATTTTAACAATTTGTTTAGCAAAATTTTAAACTGTAAAAATTTTATAAAATTAATTTCTACACACTTAATGAGCATTAATAGTAAAATTATGGTTTTTATTGTATTTTTGAAAATATACTAATATCATTAAATTATTTTGTTAATTAACGTGGCAATGTTAAAACCTTAATTTCAAATTTTAATGTAAATACAGTATAAAGTTTTCTAATAAATGCTAACAAAATATCCCATTATATTTTTTGTAATTATGTGTCTAACAATAAAAATATTAATTTCTGTGTTATGATTTATATGATATATTTTAATTTATTTTAATATTAATGTAAATTAATTCAGCAATTTATAATACAGTACTTAAGGTATTATATTGGAAACCTTCACTTGAGTATACACCCTTGGTCATGATAATTTGGGTTTAATATACAAACTTATCGAAATTCACACTAATCTATATCACTATGAAATACTGTATGTTTATAATAATATGCATGATAAATATGTGAGAATGTTATTTATATAATAATTTTCGACTTTTATTTTTGTTTTTATTTTGTAATCTCAAAGTGCATTGAATTTGACCATGTTATTGTATATGTGGTTAAGTGAATTTATTTTAAATCCTCAAAATTGCTATTTGAATATTAATAATTTTTATAATAATATTTTTAAAATGTTTTAAATTGATTATAACAATTTGATTATTAAAATTTTAAACTGTAAAAAAATAAATAAATAAATATCTACACAGTAAATGAGTATTACTAATAAACTAATGGAGTGTCTCAAAAATATGTTATTATAAGTTATTTATTATCACAAAACATTATTATATTATTTTATTAATTAAAGTGCAAAGTTATAAACTTAATTTCAAATTTGTTTAACTTTTGTCACATGTTAGTTAAGCATTAAAATTTTTATACATAAGCATTTCAATATTATTTACCATTTATCACAAAAATAATTTGTGATAACCTTTATCATTAAATGATTACTATATAAATATAAACACTTACTAAAAGTTTTCATAACCATAATTAATAACCAATTTTCAAAAATATTACTAATTTTAATAAAATCATTATAATGGGATTGAGCAAAGGCAAAATAGTTTTAATTGTTATAATAATTATCTTGCTAATAATTATTATAGGTTTTGCAATTTATTATTATATTCGACGTAAAAATAGTAAACGAAATGTTAATAAACAAACCCAAGTGTCTGTGAATTTTGATAATAGCAAGATCATTCACCAGAATATCATACAACATAATTATTATAAAAGTAAGCTAGCTAAATTTGTATAACGTTATTGTATTTTTAATTATGTTATAGACGATCAACCTGAACAGGCCACATTTAATCAAGTGTCTATTGTTATTAATCCAACTATTCACATCTCAATGACCAAGATAAATATTTTGAAAATTGACCGCTTACTTATTGACCGTGATAATATTGTTATGGACACGCAAAATGAAATTTGTCGTGGTCAATTTGGACCGGTGTTTAAAGGGATATACCACTCGACTGAATTTGATACATCTGAGCATGTTGCTGTTAAATGTAAAACACTATATGAATTTACCTAACTCAATTACTTAAAAATTAAACTGATATATATATTTTTATTTTAAAATCTACAGTGTTTAAAAAACGAGATGAATTAGCCGAGTCATTTATTGATGATGCACTTGTAATGAAAGAATTTATCCATGATCATGTAATGACACTGATCGGGATCACTTTTGATGAAAATGGCTTACCACTCATTGTGATGCCATACATGCAGAACAGCGATTTATTGGATTACTTAAGGCAACCTACCAATTCACCTACTGTTGAGAATTTAATAACATTTGTATTAAACATTGTACAAGGTAACGTATAGAAATTATACTTACAAATTTTTAAAACTACTAGTATTTATAACATAAAGTTTTGTAATAATTATGTGTTTAGCCTTCATAACAAAGTTAGATAAATATAGAAACAATGTAAAATTAAATATTTAAAATTATAATAATATTTATTTTTATTATAGGTTTAGCTTATCTGTCGGGTATGAATTTTGTGCACCATGACCTAGCTGCTAGAAATATAATGATAAACTCGAGCCTATTTGTTAAAATCGGTGATTACGGTCAAAGTCGGTATAAATACCCGGATCATTACTACAGCCTCTATGATACTGAACCTAAACTTCCGGTCAAATGGATGGCACCCGAAAGTCTGGAACGGGAACCACCCGTATATGACATCAAGACTAACTCCTACACATATGGCATAGTTATCTGGGAGGTAATGAGCAGGGGACTGGTACCTTATGGTGATGTACCGGAAGTTGATTTATTAATGTATGTTAAATCTGGACGTCGTATGGATAGACCCGAGTGCTGTCCCAATGAGTTGTATGACATAATGATAAGGTGTTGGTATTTGGGCCCTGATACACGACCAGAGTTTAGCCAGTTAGTGGATGAGATAGGTCAAATTCATAGTAATGATCAGATAAATCATTTGCAGTTAGATTATGTAAAGTAGATATTTTTTGGCTTACTTTATAATACTGTAATTATTCTGTTAAATATTTTTCTTACATTATCAGACAATTTAATTTTATGTATTTGGTCTATCCAGAGTACGCCGATAATATAATTTTTAATTGCAAAAATTTTAATTAATTTTTTAAAATAAATTTTATTTTAATTTATCTTTTTTTTATAAAACTGCAAATATTTTTATAAACATTTTTGTAATGTTATCAGGAATATATGATGTTTATTAGTCTATCAAGATATTACAGACATTTCGTAAGTTTTTACTATATAATCACAGTAATGATGAATGGTCAGAAAAATCATTTGCAACTAGTTTGTGGTAAATACAGTATTTTTTGTTTTGTTTTATTAAGTGTTGAATTGAAAATTGAATTTTAAAAAATTAAATTTGTTATTATTTTGTAATATTATTTTATATATAATATTATAATCACAGATATAAAGATGATTATTTAATTTTATTTTTAAAAATTTAATAAATTAAATAAAAAATAATTTTTATTCAGTTCATATGATTAATTACCTTATTTTTGTAAAACTGTAATTAGTTTTATAAACACTTATATAATATTATCGGAAATAATTTATATTTAATAGATGGTTTATAATTACAGCTGATTATTAAGTTTTAAAAATATCTTGTTAATAATCCTTATTTTTGTAAAACTGTAATTAGTTTTATAAACACTTATATAATATTATCGGAAATAATTTATATTTAATAGATGGTTTATAATTACAGCTGATTATTAAGTTTTAAAAATATCTTGTTAATAAACTAATGTTAGAAAAGATATTTATAAAAATGAATGCCGCAATTATAATATTTTCAAATTGAATTTCAATATATTACAACTTTTCAAAAATGTCATATAACATAATCTGTTAATGTTTTTATACTGTACAGGTAACTTATAAACTTTATATTAGTAGCCATTGAAAAAATATACACATTTATTTAAACAAAATAAAACTTATTACAAAACTTTTAACTTAGGGTTAAATGGTTGGAAGCACCCGTATATGACATCAAGACTAATGCCTACAAATATGGCATACAGTAGTTATATAGGAGGTTATGAGTAGGGGGACTGGTACCCTATGGTGATGTACGGGTAGTTGATTTATTAAAGTATGTTAACTCTGGACGTCGTATGGATAGACCCGAATGCTGCCCCATTGAGTTGTATTACATAATGAAACAGTGCTGGTATTTGGACCCTGATACACGACCCGATTTTAGGTAGTAGGTGGATGAGATAGGTCAAATTCACCATAATAATCAGAAAAATCACTTGCAATTAGTTTTGGTATTCAATTTATGGTTTGCTTTATTATGTATTAAATTGAAAATTAACTTTTGAAAATAAATAATATGTTAATTTTATTATTTTTATAGGACTGTAATAATTGTGTAAAACATTTTTGTTACATGATCAGATGAATATATATTTAACATTGGGGATCGCAATCCACGAACATTTTAGATTTAAAATCTCGACTAAATGATATTTTTTGCTTTAAATAATGTCATTTAATTAGAATATGATAATTAGATTAATTTTGTTATGATTTATTAAGTTTTAAATTTAATATTAAATTTTTAAAAGTATATTTAAAAGTAAATTATATTTTATTTTAAAAAAATAAAACTAATTATTTTGTCAACCATTGATGGTATATTATTACGAATATTTCATTATAACTATTAGATGTTAAAGAACGCAAGATAAATTTAAAAATATTAATAAATAACAAAATTTTCTTTATTTTTAATTTTAATTGTAATATTAAGTAAATTAATCTTATGAAACTTTTTAAGTTAGAAAAATACTTTTAAAAATATTAATAAAACTTTTATATTGTTTTAATATGTTTTAATTTATCACAATTTATGTCAGATAACATAATCTGGTAATGATTAGTAATCTAGTTTAACTATTATATCGGGTTGGCGTTTTGTGCACCGTGACCTGGCTGCTAGAAACATGCGTCGAAATCGTTGATTACGGCTAAAGTCGGTTTAAATACAGAGATTATTGTTGTATTACTAATAAATTATTAGGCATTGAGATGAAAAATAAAGTTTATTTTTCCTTTGTTT